GCATAGTAGATCATATGGTTGTCTGACTCAAAATGGCCCAAACCAGTCCATTTCAGCTCACTAATGCCTAGGATATCAATCTTTATGTGTTCCATTTCATTTCTGACAACTTCCAACTTTCCTAGATTCATCCTTCATACATTCCACGTTCCAATTATTAATGGATGTCTGCAGCTGTTTCAATTTGAGTCGTGCCATGTCAGCAAATGGATGTCTCAAAAGCTTTGCCTTATCCATATCAGTAAGGTTGGTTTTACTCTGATGATGTAGCTCTTTCCCAGTCATATTTTGAGAGCCTTCCAATCTAAGTGACTCATCCTCCTCCTCTGTATTGGACATTGATTCCAGGCTGTTCATAAAGTTGCACAGTAATGTATCAGACAATGTTTCTCTGCTATTCATAAGGTTTTCCCTGGCCAATTCTTTGAGAAGTGGATGGCCTCTTCCTTCTTTCTAGTGTGTCTTAGTCTTCAAGCCACGCTGCAACATGTGCAACATGTGTACCCTGCTGGGTTTGAAACACCAGTGGCACAGCCTCAAGACTCACAGTAAACATCACCACAGTAGGACAAACTGACAGATAAGTTTGTCTTCCCTTAGCTGTTCAAAGCCTATCCAACCTCCCCTTATATGGATTACTGTTGCTGCCTCCTCACTCTGTCTATTCTGATGTAGAATAATATTTATCATTTGATTTAAAGATAAATTTCCCGTGAACCAGATGCTTTTCTATTCAGACATCCTCTCTTCTTCATGATGTTCATGAAGTTCTATGGAAAGTGTTCATTTCTCCTCCTATTGTGAACTTAACTAGCTATATCTTACTGCATGTGCAAGTTGACTTATGCAATAAAATGCTCCACAGAGATAAATGGAAGCAATAAGAACAACATGAATGATCACCGGTACAAATCAAATCTCTGCATAGCAGTTTCTTTGATTTTCAGTTAAGAGACAATCAGCCTTAACCTCTGTTGCGTGACAAAATAAGATGAGAGCTAAAGGTGATTTTCAAAGTTGAAGGATAGAAAATTTCAAACAGCAACAGTAACAATAATCATAAATAGTAATAAAATAAATTAAAAAAAAAAAAAAACTGCCATCGAGTTGGACTCGACTCATAGCGACCCCTCCTTGGGTTTCCAAGGCAGATTACTACGGAATTAGATTACCCAGCCTTCCTTCCAAGAAGTGGGCTGGTGAGTTTGAACTGCCAGCCTTCTGGTTAGCAGTCAAATGCCTTAGGCACTACACCACCAGAGCACCCATAAAATAAAAATAATAATTTATTGAGCACATCTATCAGGCTCTAGGGTAAATATCTTTAAATTGTTGAAAAATTTATAGAACTCATTTGCAAATTATAGATAATGTCATCTTCATTTCAGATGAAGACTTAGGTAAAGTAACTTGCTGAGTTGTGAAAGTAGTAAGTAATGGGGCTTGGACTATAAAGGCTTCAATTTACAACACATCTATTAATAGTAACTTAGAGTAGTTAAGAAGAACTTTGATACTATATCCAGACATAGTATCACAATTGATTAGCAATGTCTGCACACACATAGAAAAGGACTGGGAGTAGCAGCATATTTGCCTACAGCATCATGCTGTCTCTTGAGGTAATATAACTTAGGGAGGAAAAAATGTCTCCCTGCCTTAAAGTGTATTTTGCCAAAGTGCCACAGTCTAAGGGTATTGTGCCCAGTTGTAATAAAAGCCACATGGTTCCAAAGTGTGCAGTGGCTGAGATGTGCCAGAGGCAGAGCTAATGGCTTCCCACAAATAACAATCATCCCATTGGCCAAGCAGCTCTCCCACTGCTCCCCAACAGTAGCATTATCACATCCCAACAATGCGCCTTTGCCTGCAGATACATAGGTCCAATAGCTGGCACTGACGATTTCCATGGAAAGCGCCTCTGTCTTTTGTTCTTTGTCAGGCTTATTGTTCAGAGCTTAGGGAGGGAGGCTTATGTCCAGATATGGGACAATAATATGTGCTATATACATTTGTTGTCAGCAATATTGTGGGTCACCATGATATCAACATTTTCGATTCTACAATGCTCTGAAATGCCTTCCTTACCTCTAATCCCCCAACTTGTGAATACCTAGTCACTCAATTCAAATATCACTTCCTCTCTAGTCTTCTAGGACCACCACCACCAGCCAGAGTTAGCTTGTTGATGTTTGGCACTCCACCATCTAACACAATACCAATAAATATTTAATAACTGAGAAAAAATTAAACTATGCAGATACTTAAGAAAATGGATAAACTTGAGCTAAAATGATTTTGAGACTCAGGACAGTGAAAGGGAAGTAGCCATTCCAAAGGTACGTTCATTGGATCTGTTCTACTATGTGTGGAGCACACTGTCTAACAGCAAAATATAGAAGAAGGACTCCAGGCTGTGTGATTCCTGGGTATCAACAGGGAAGAGGTTGCTTTATAAAATGTTCAGAAAAATTACGATCTGGGCCTAATAAGCAGATACTAATACATTTTTTAAATGTGTCATTTGTTTTTATTGCTTTGGATTTGTGCTAAAGCCATTGAGATCTCCCCCACTAGTATAATAAAAGCAGGTGACTGTTGTTGTTGTTGTTGTTGTTGTTGTGTGCCGTCGAGTCTGACCCGACTCATAGCGACCCCTTCTTGGATTTCCGAGGCAGTATCACCACGGGAGCTCTGGTAGCATAGTGACTAAGACACTTGCCTGCTAACCAGACGGCTGGCGGTTCAAACCCACCAGCCACTCCTCGGAAGGAAGGTTGGGCAATCCTACTTCCGTAGTGATACTGCCTCAGAAACCCAAGGAGGGGTCGCTATGAGTCGGGGCCGACTCGACGGCACATAACAACAACAACAACAACATCACTACGGAAGTAGATTGCTCCATCTTCCTTCCGAGGAGCGGCTGGTGGGTTTGAACTGCCAGCCTTCTGGTTAACAGTCAAGTGCCTTAGGCACTATGCTACCAGAGCTCCCTATCTATGACTAGATGTGTTATATAGCCACAGAAGAACTTCTGCACAAAATGTTAATACTGTTCAAAAGCCTGCTGAAAATCAGACCTTGTGTGGTATATGCACTGGAAACACTGGGCTGTAAGTAAGAGAAAAGAAAATTCAGATCGTTTATACACTAAGGAAGGTATTTTATCTCTGGGGAGCTCAGAGGAGTAAGCATTTATGTCTACCTGGGTGGGCTTTCTGAAGGCCCCTGGATTGGTGACAGGAGTGCTATTAAGAGGGAGACTTAGAGGGGGGTTGACACAAACAATTAAGTGTATCTCAAAAAATTGGCCCGATGATCTGCTTCCGGAAAGTCACAGCTTTGGAAACCCTAAAAAATAGTTCCACTCTGCACACATGGAGTCATCAGTCAGAATTTATTCGATGGCAATAACACAGAGAAGGGAAATGGGAAGCCAAGGACAGTGTTGAAGGCTGCTGAAGGAATCCAAGGAGAGGCTACAGATGCCTGGGTGATAAAGCCAGTGCAGGTAAGGATGAGTTCGATTAAAGAGAGAAACAGAGATATTCAGAGGATAGAATCAGAATAATTGGAAATAGGGCAGAGTTTGCAACGATACCATCTCAACTGCAAGGGATCATTATGAAGCTGAAATACAAAGATTATCAAAGTTTATCATGATAATGATAAACTGCTCTGGATCTATTCCTGTTTTTCATTCCTGTTGTTGTGACACTGATGAAGAGCAAGTGGTATCATATATCATGTTTAGGGTAAATGCAAATTATTGTGATTCATCTGTGCTTATTTTCCACCAGTGGCAACCCAGTCTTCTAGGTATAGTTAATGTCAGAAGTGAAATTATTTTCCTTAATGTTGTTTCTTTTCTCTTTTCATTATGAAGTACATTCGGTGCTCTTCGAACTGGTGCTTATATGGTGTACATTTTGATGACCAAAGGCCTGAAGCAGTCAGTTTGTGACCAGAGTTTTTACAATGGACCTGTCAGCAAGTTCTGGGCATATGCATTTGTGCTAAGCAAAGCACCTGAATTAGGTGAGTGCTTTCTTGCCTTTCTTCTTTTCATTGCAGCTATTCATATACCTGCAATCTTCATTTTCAAAAAAAAAAAAAATTGAAGCATCTATTTAGTTGGTTGCAGAAAAGTTACAATTATTGAATTTGGATTCTTGACTGACTTCCACTTGCTTTTTCTGTGCTCCCCTTCCCTTTTTAAAATAATTGTACATTGTGTAGATTAAGAACAAAATAGTTGACATGCAGATTTTTAAGCATTACTAAAAATACACTTCCAGTGGCTTATAAAATATACACAGCCCCTTCTCTAAGGCCCATTAACAGCTGAGCTAATATTTGAATATGGGGGGAGACAAGCAACAAAGCTATTTCCAAGTCCCAAATCTAAACAAAATTTCATTTCTGGAATTAGGAATCAGAATAGGAAATTAAGCTTTTCATTTGGGTATCCTCATGTTCTCATTAACAAATGTGAAGGGTTGGTCTCTGGTGGTGTTTGATGTTAATCATCAAAGAGACTGGCCTTGGGGAAGGAGAATGTAGTTCATTTTCTAGAAATTATAGAAAATACTGGCTATATTTGTAGACTCCTAAGGTTTTTCCTTCAGCTCTTTTTAATCTTGAATATAAGGATGGCACAGGTTAGCAGACAGTGAAAAATGTAAATGGCAAGGAGTTGACTTAGGTACAATTCTCTAGGAAAATACCTTCATTGCCAGAAAAAGGACTCGGCTGGTGATAATAAGCTTCAAGTTTATCCATGACTGTCGTGGCCACCATCCCACAAATTAATATATATGGGTTCCTTAATTTTTACTGTACATATTCAATTCAAAATCATTATTTATATTTATAATACATCTCTGATTACCCTAAAAAAGAGTTAGAGGTCATAATTTCTTTTTAAGTCACCTATAGGCTATCAACAGTCTTTCTGTAAGGCGCCATGAGTTCAATGTCTATTCACATAGGATATGATATTTCTGATATGTAAGTTAGCTACTTTCTAGTGGATGCTATACATCTCCTGCCTATGAGTAGCTGGCAGTTGGTTTGAACTCCAGGTTTGACCACTGTCTTACCATGTTAAAGGCGGAGGAAGAACAGCAGAAGAAAACATTTTCTGAAAACCTTTTCTATCAGGGGGAGTAGTACAAAGATTGGTCCTCCACTTAATCCAAAATAACTCGGTAACTTATACACATATATACACAGAGAGCCTATGGAAACAGAGTCTTTTCATTCAACAGAGTGAAATGCATTAGTATGGATTCTTTTGTTCATTTATTCAATAAATTTGCATTAAGCACCTACCATGGGCCAGGCTTTTAATAGGGTTGAAATAAAATGGTTACTTTATCTAAAAGGGAAATTTATTATATGAGTTTTATGAACCAGGCCCCAGGAGGCTATTTCCTGTACTTGAATTGAGACAACGGGAATAAAATCTTAAAGTAGAGAAATGATTTTCAAATTTTGAAATGGACATGATGCTGGAAATCCTTCATGTATATTTTCAGAAATTTAAAATTTCTTAAGAATATTTTGATACTGTGTTTTCATTTTATGGACAATCTAAAAAAAAAAAAAATTCTACCAGATATATTTTTCCCCTTAAATATATATTTAAGTATATATTTTTTACTTAAATTAGACTCATAGTTTCTGAATTAGAGCTTTCTTGTCAAACTGGAGTTGATCTAAGAATGTGTACTCTTTATTCTTGGGGTTTTGTGGCTTTTTCTTTAAAAGAAATTCATACATTATTAACACTTGAGAATTCCACAGGTTCAGAATTATATACCCCACCCTCCTGACTTTTAATTTATGTCACCCTACTGTATTTTAAAAGGTTAGTGGTTTGAACCCACCAGCTGCTCCATAGAAGAAAAATGAGGCAGTCTGCTTCTGTAAAGATTTACAGCCTTAGAAACCCAGTGGGGGTCCTATGCATCAGAATCAACTCAATAGCAGTGAATTTTATTGTATTTTAAGTATCCTCTATAATCCCCTGCTCAATCTTTTTTGATACGGGAGTGACTTACAAATACAGGAATGTGGTAATAGCCTGAAACATACTATTTCCCCTACATACCGTCCTAAACACTTCTAGTTTTCAACTCTTACTACTCAACATTGATTACAAACCAAAACAAAAAAATAACAGAAATGTTGTTTCTGTGCTTCTAGCCCATAAGCCTCAGCTTGCAAAGGAAAAACTCCAATCTATTCTAGAAATGCCTTTTCCTGCAAGAACTTCTTGTCTGTGCTCTGAGCTCTCTAGTTGTACTTGAGGGCCTTGAGAGTGAAAATAGTCCTGTCTATTTCTTGGAGTAATCATTCATTGAAGAGCTACCCCACCCTATCCATAGTGGTCCCTTTCTACTTGTATTCCAAATTTAAATCAAAGTTTTATGGTGGTGATTAGAGATAGGATTCTGAGAAAAGAACACATATTAGTGCTGTCATCCTTTGTCTCATTATTTTGTGGGTCTTGATGGTGTTAATGAATCTCCCATATCTTAGTTTAATCTAAACACAAATGTGCCAGTCTCCACTACTCTGTGTTGTTTTTGTTGTTAGGTATCATTGAATCCATTTTCACTCACAGTGACCCCAAGTGACAAAGTAGAATTGCTTCATAGGTTTTTCCAGTCTGTCATCTTTACAGGAGTGGATCACCAGTTCTTTTCTCCTGTGGAGCTACTAGGTATGTTGGAACCACCACCTAGCAGCCAAGCACTCAGCCACCAGGGCTGCTAACTGCCTTATAGCAGACAATATAACTGAACACAGAGTCTTTCCTCTTGAGCCCACAGAAATCCACAACACAAGTCCACCACGTGCAGTGGATTGGAGTACTGCTATACTGTACTATTGGCATTATTAACATTCCTTTCTCTGAGAAGTCTCACTCAATACAGTAGTTTGTAGGCCAGATACCAAATAATCCATCCCTTCACAGTTAAAATAGGGGTTGTAGTGCTGACAATGGTCCAAAGAGTTGGGGGTGGGGTGGGCAGGGACCAACACTATCCTAATCTTGACATAGTTCTTTAGTGAGGCTAGTTAGTGACCCAAATTCATCAGGCAGTTTCAGATCCATTATATAGATATGTTTATGTCCTGAGAGGGAGCTCTCGTAGCATAGTGGCTAAGACACTTGCCTGCTAACCAGACGGCTGGAGGTTCAAACCCACCAGCCACTCCTCAGAAGGAAGGTTGGGCAATCCTACTTCCGTAGTGATACTGCCTCGGAAACCCAAGGAGGGGTTGCTATGAGTCGGGTTTGACTTGACAGCACATAACAACAACAACAACAACAATGTCCTGAGAACCTTTCTCCATTTTAAAACCAGATTTATTTCCCTTCAAATATTCTGGATCTCATTTAATAATAGCCTTCCAGAAAAAAACTGCCAAGTCAAAACAAATCCAAAAATCAGTACAGTTTGTCTCTGAAACACTACAGTGACTCCTCAAGTCTTCACTTAGGGAATAGACACGTTTGCTTGGATGCTTTTTCTTTCATTTTGGAGGTTAAATTCCTTCTTAGCTTTTCACTCATAGAAAACTTTTTCACTAGCATTTAATTAAGTAAGATTTATCTATTTAGATTATTTGGAGCTTTTCTTATTTTTAGGCCCTAAGTCTTGCCTTTCATTTATCTCAGCACCAGAAAAGAAAGGGTTTATTAAGGGGAAAGTACAGTTCCTCATGTTCAATACTGAAGCTGTATTTTCCAAAAAAAAAACTCACATGCCTGCAGTTTTCACTAAACTCTTGATAGCAAGAAGAGCTTTCTGTTTCAGCAGAAACAATGAGCTCATTTCAGTGAATTATAGGGTTACAATCTACTAGAACAAGTGAGGGGAAGAGAGCCACCAACCTGCTTTGTGTGTCAAAATCTTTGAGCGCCTACTATTAGAATTATATTAAAACCTGCTGAGATTTGGTTTTGTTAAAACTTGGAAACATCTGCTCTGAGTCTAGGTCCTTACTCAGTTGAGCTTGTCATTGTTTTCGAAACTCTGACTCAGCGACACTGCAGCTAACTCTGCGAAGAGGAGTGCAGCCGTCTGTGACAAACTATACACTCAGAGTAGGCATTGTGTCTCTTTGTGGCCATGAGCATGCTAGGAGATCCAAATGTTGATAGACTTCTCTTTAGCTGCATAGAGACCTGCACTTACCAGGCACACAGGCAGGAGGTATGTAGTTCAGGAGGCAAACCTGGTTACAAGGAACACCATCCCTGCCTGCAAAGCTACCTCTTGATTGGAAATAGCTGCATCAGTGTTAGAGAGATCACGGTAAAGAAAAAAGAACCAAAGAGTGATATAATTAAAATATTTGAGTTAAAAGTCCTATTGCTTATACTTGACCAATATCATTTACATAATGTCAGCTGGACCTTTGGTTTGGTTTTTAAAAAAAAAAAAAAAAAGACTGGCTGGCCAGCATCAGATACATATCCTCTAAGATAGTTTGCATTTCCGGGTCATGCTGTAGTTTCTGACAAGCCTGTAAAAACCACAGTTGGCATGACTCTGGCTCATGATAAATCAAATGTGATGTTGTGTAGTTACCCTAGAGGAAGAAACTCTATCTCAGCTGAAATAACAAAAAGAACCATGAGAAGTCTTGGTGAGTCCCTCTGGAACCATGTCAGTTTCTACTTGCCTGAAGGAAGCAACCACTCTTGGATCAGCAGCTTTCTTGGGATAATGACCTTGATATAACATTGCAATGATGCTTCTGAGAGGCTCCAGAATGATTATTGGGAGATCTTCATTATTCCATCTACCATCCTGTGTATTTGCTCTGAAAAAAATTCTTAAATGAATTCAAATTAATTTTATTTTGAAAATTTCAAGATACTCCTCCCAATCAAGTAATTAGAATCACTAAATACACCATAGACTTCTAGAAGATTGAATAAATAGGTCTTTGGAGAAGCACAGCCAGAATATACAACTACAGTAATCAAAATAGCCCGGTACTCAGGCCTGCCAACT